CATTATGTCAGCAGCATTTGGGATGGAGCAGAATAGCGAAGCAAAAGATTTTGTTCGTCAGGCATTTACAAGAGTGATGGACGCCAATAATTATCGATCATTAGAATTTCCCATTAATCAAATACCAATATTAAGGCGGTTGCCGATATTCAAGAAGGGTATTGTTGATCGTGGCTCACATCAGATTCAAACAATCGTTGCACAAATGATTAACGAACGAAAATGTAGAAAAACTTCGAGCATTTGTGACGGAAACGATCTACTTGATTTGTTACTAACGGCAAAAGATGAAAATGACGACGGTTTTAGTGACGAACAAGTAAAAGATGAAGCGATTACATTCGTATTCGCCGGTCATGAGACAACTGCGAATCTAATGGTTTGGTGCCTGTATGTTCTAATGACCCACCCAGATGTCTACCGTGATTGTCGAGAGGAAGTTGATCAAGTTTTGCAAGGACAAATACCGGTACATAAGCAAGTGAGTGATTTGCAAGTGATCGATGCTATTCTCCATGAAACACTTCGTTTATATCCGCCTGCCCCCGTTCTTATTCGCGAATGTATCCGTGAACATACAATCGGTCAAGACCAATTGCATGTGCCTGTTGGAGCTCTTGTAATGACAAATACTTACGTTTTACATCGTTCCGAGACATACTGGCGTGATCCACTCGTGTTCGATTACCGACGGTGGATGAGAAATAGCGACGGACTGAAATCAAGGTTAGCTCATCCATTTTCCTATCTTCCATTTTCAACTGGAAATCGCAATTGTATCGGACAAAATTTTGCTCTATTAGAAGCAAAAGTTATGTTGGCAATGATTATTCAACGGTTAGATCTTGAATTAGTTCCAGGACAAAAAGTGGTACCTTCTGTAATACTAACAATGAAGTCGAAATATGGGTTACAAGCGAAAATTAGTCGGCGAATATAATGGTAACAACATGAATTTTGAAATAAAATGTTATTTCATCCTGGAAGCGATGTCCAATAAATAAAATCAGCTCATAGTAGACGATAGATAGAAGAAGAATAAAACCGAATAAAGTAACGAAAATGAATATTAGAAACATCTGCAAGTATCAAAAGTAGTTCTAGTGTCACATATTCTACAGATTCTAGTGATCCACAGCACTAGCATTTTACTAGAAATAAATTTCTGAAATCAGCACTTGTGGAGATTCAACATAGAAGTACGTCAATATTATCAAGAGGTTTTACTGTATGGCGTTTCAAATCATATTATTCACTTCCTGGAAGATCGATTTTATGTCTTACCACTTATTTTTGAACTCGACCGAGAAGACTGTAATTACAATATATCAACATACTTAATATCACTCGATCTCGTAAAATCTACTTCCTAATTATGAAATATGCTTATTTCTTTCAGGATAGAGCCTGGTTCGCATCTGTAAAACACTTTTTTTTGGAATGTATTAATTATGAAGGGCAGCGACAGGATATATTTTACCAGATGCGCGGTATCATAAATTCCCCTATCACTTTACATCACATACTACTCCTCCATCGCTCTATCTGCGTATTGAATAGAGATGACATAAACGGGTGGCCCAGATAAAACCGGCCACTTTTGTTCGTTGTTTTTGATGCACTGTAGTCCAAAGAGTTTGTTCTAAGTTCAGTCGGCAGAGAATTGAACCTGCTGTTTGAATCTCTGATAGCATTTTTCTCGTTTGAGTACTATTCTGAATGTTGAAGAGTGCTGAGTTGCCTAACTGGGACAGACTGAAAATAGAAAAATATTTGCCTTGATCGAAACAATAGATACCATAAGAATTTTGAAAAGCTCAGAAGATTCACCGGAAAATTCTGCATCTTCTTACGTATTTTTCGAAATTTTACAGTTAAGCCTTATAGGAAAATTTCTCTGTGTAAAAAACTGACAAATCCAAACAAACCTAACGTTTGAACCTATTTTTCACACATTTTAGTTTTTTTTACTATAGGAGCAGTAAAACGTTCTAAATTCAGAGTTTTAGTCTTATTATTCCACACAGAATTAAATTCTGCATCTTTTGATAGATAAACAAAGTTTCTCAGTTGAAATTATTAATTAAAATAATTAATTTATTTTGAAAAGATTGAAAAGTCGGTTGAGAACTAAATATGAGTCCAGTTGACGTAGCAGAAACATTACATGAAGTTGTAAATGAGTGAGATAGATAGAGCACAAAATTCTCTTTTCGTTCTACGTTAAAAAATTAACTATTGAACCCCAGACAATGGGCTAAACATCTCAAGAAAGGAGACGATAAAAGCACATCGCAGTTGGCCGGCTAAGCACCATTCAGTATTTTGAATGGTACTCAAACGAGAAAAATGTTATCAACATTCAAATAGCAGGTTTTGTACAGAATTCAACTCTTTATCGATTGAGCTTAGAACGAACCCTTTGAACTACCGGACAGTGTCTCAAAAACAACCAACAAAAGTGGCCGGTTTTATATGGGCCACCCGTTACTATCAATTTTTAATTCTATTCTTCAATATATTCGTCCAACCAAAC